AATTGTACCTTATTAAAGCAGTTTAAATAATAACAATAAAAAAGAGCTATCCATATTTGGCATTGCTACCAACTCAGAGCCAATGAGATCTGTTACATTTGTCTCCTATTTCTAAAAGCTCATAAAGAGGGTAGACTAACGAAGAACAGAAAATGAGCCACTATTTCCACTGAAGACACTGCTGTCTTTTGAACCTAAACATATTTAGTGTTCTTCCCTATTACACTTGCTAATTAGTCTTTCTAGCCTTGCAGATGTAGCCAGCCTGTTATGGAACCATACATAAGCAAATATCTTTTTTGAAATCAGAAGAATTTCTTTGGCTTGTTTGAAACAGCTGTGTTTCTGGAGCCATAAGATGGTTTGAAATAAAAAAGAAACAGATTCATTTCTTGAGCATTACATTTTATTCTTTTTTCCCCTGATAATTTCTCTCTAAGAGAAGAGGGAAATAACATTCATGGAGTGTATAGTAAGTATAGGATTTTGTGCTAGGTTCATTTGCAATTATGTGAGATACATAGAGCTGGTCTTATTTTCCAGATAAGCAAATTTATTCTCAAAATTTAAATAAGCAATAGAGTTGAACTCCAACTCAGGTCTTTCTGCTAAAATTCACTACCTATTCTCTCCACTTTGCAGCCTTGTGTTTGGTGGAATAAAGACTTTCAAAATCATTATACAGTTGTTGATCAGTACCTATCACTCTATCTTTGAAGTTTTCAGTTAATAGTCAAAGGATCTATGTTCTAAAAATTATGGATCATTTAAAAGAAGACTGTATTCATGTATTTCTCTCTGTGAACATCACAGAAATATAAATAGTGGTACATAAATATATGTGTGTACACACTTATACATACAAGTGTATAGGTATGAAAATAATGTTTTATAAATTCCTTGGCTTTATCTAAGTTATTCCTAAAATTCTATTGTAATAATTACTTATATTTCAGATTTTACTACTGAATTACGAGTAAGTTGTAGATAAGGATATGTGTTGTGTTCATTCTATTACCCTAGCAATCAACCCAATGTAAAGCACACCAGGGGTGTTCAATAAATATTAACAATTAAAAATTTATCCAATATAAGTTATAAAAACAGTTGCAAAATACATTTTATGTTGTATAGTTTTTTTTACAGGAAGAAGAAAAGCTTATTTATATTTTTTTAATGTTCTCTATAAATATCCTTAGAGTAATGGTTCTCATACATTTTGTTTTAAATAGCCATTTATACTCTTTAATATTACTAAGGACCTCAAAGAGCTTTTGTTCATATGGATTACAGGCCTGTATCGTAATTTAAGACTGAGAATTTAAAAACATTTATTCATAAATTTAAAATGAACTCATTCTATGTTAAAATAATTATATTTTTAATAAAAGTGACTGTATTTTAAAAATAAAACACTTATGAGATGGGTGGTGTTGTTTCACATTATTGCAAATCCACTGAAAATTGAGCTAAATGAAATACGGCTAAATGCTCATATCTGCTCTGTGTACAGCCTGTTGTGATAGCACATATCGTGTAACCTCCAAAGACCTCTGCTGCGCATTTTCACAAGAAAACGGGGGTGTAAGGCAAATGCTACCTTACCATTTACTATGAAAACAGTTCTTTGTGGACCCCCTGAAAGAATCTTGGAAACCATGAGGGTCTCCTGCTCGAACTTTGCGAAACACACAGAGGAAACAATAAATAAAACACACACTTTCTATTCCTGTCTTCTATTTTGAAATTCTTTTTGAATCCAAAAAATAAAAATATTTTTTCTCTTTTTTTTTGTGAGGTATACTTGTTTCACGTAATTCTTATAAAACATTTTAACGCTACACACCCTGTTAGGGTGGTTTATTTTCTTTAATTTTTTAAAGAAGATTTCATTTATTTATTTGAGAGCAAGAGAGAGAGCACAAGTGGGGGAGGGGCAGAGAGAGAGAAGCAAGCTCTCCGCTGACTAGGGAGCCTAAGATGCCAAGGCCCAATGCCGATGCAGGGCTTGATCCAGGACTCTGGGATCATGACCTGAGTGGAAGGCAGACACTTAACCAACTGAGCCACCCAGGCACCCCTAGAATGGTTTATTAAACTATCATAAAAGATACACAGTTTTTCTACTTTCAGTGGGTTTATATAACCGAAATGAAAATGCACTAATGACTATTTGGACCTTCTGTTAGGGAGGGCAGATATATTACATTTTATTCTTTACTCCTTCCTTGCTTACATCCTATCGTGTTTACAAAGGCATTTAAATTTTTGGTTAGATAGCTTTTTCAGTACTGATGAAGCTACAAGCCACTGCTCATTTTCTCTAAATATGAAAAACAAACAGGAACTTATTTTTTTTATTATGGAAAAAGTCATACATATAAAAAAGTAATGCAAGCCTATAATAAAACCCAGTGTGGTCAATCTTCCAACTCCAATCATTATCAAATCATGGTCAATTTTCTCATCTATTCCTTCACCATTCTCCACACAACTAATTTTGAAAGAAATCCCAGACAAGATATTGTTTCCTCTGCAAATATTTCAGTATGTAACTCTAAAAAAAAAAAAAAAATCTACCCTTAATTTTTATTAAAAACGTTAACATCAAAAGTGGTAACCATAGCCAAAAAACAACAGTAAATCTTTAATATCACCAAATGTTCAGCTAAGCAAAAAAGGCTTTTGGTTGAGTGGCCAACAACGGAGAGATCAGCCAGGAGCACAGATGCTCTGTGCTAGCGTTTGCCTGCCGTTAGCTTAGACCTTTTAGATCTTGTTTGCCATAGAAGTCATTTCTCACTCTAGCTTTGCATATACGTGTATTTAAATCCCTTTGAGGTACTGAAGATTTATTTGAAAACATCAATTACTTCAAAACATTTCATTTACTATGAAATTATGCTACCCAAGTACACATGGAAAATATATTCAGTAGTATTCAATGCAAGGGAAAATAATGGGGAAAATATTTTTATTTTTATATTAGGTAAATATCAAAAGAAAAAGGGGTATGCAGAGAGATGATACAGAACGCTACTAGTAAACATATTGTTCAAAACAATGATTCTTGTTTCTCATTTCGTAAAATCTATATACAGAGGAAACTGAATTTAGTTTTCAGGCTAGAGTATTTATAATGAGATATTAGTAGCTCTCATTTCTGTCTTTCCTATATTTTAAAACTTTTTTCCTAATAAAACAAAATAATAAGTTGCAAAAGACAGGTAAGAAGGTTGAGGGGATGACTAACGCAGTATAAAAGCAATAATACAGCTAGAAGATAGATACAGTGATATAGAATTCTGGTGATTTAGTAAGATTTCTGTTGTTTGCACTAAAAAAAAATTTGGCATTGTTGGAAAGTACAATGTTGTTTTGCTTTATGAGCTGGAGGGAACTGAAATAGTTTGTAGAAGTAATTATTTCATAGAGTTATTCCATTGTAATTATTCCAATCCATAGAGCCCATGGATTTTAAGATTTACCCATGGAATTTTCATCAGTGCTTAAAATACAGTGTGCATGCAATAAAACTATGAAAGTTTAAATTATCTGTCTCTGGTAGGAGAAAAATTACCCAATCTTAAAAGGAAAACAGCATTAGACTCTTAATCGATTCATTCTCTATGAAAATAAAGAGAGGAAAATTGCTCAAAGCAAAACCTGTTCCACATCTTCATGCTCCATGGTCTAAAATATGCAAAGAACAGGAGCAAGTAAACTGAAAAAATATCTATTTTTGTCCTTTGTTATATCAGTCCTTGCAGGAAAAAAAAAAACCCTCCAGCATATATACCATGTTAGATATATCACCTCTACATATGTTCATATATATACATAAACATATATATTTATGAATATTTTCTGTTGATGTACAGTGTCTATAACAAGGAATATACTTGAATGAGAAGACAGGTACTATTCATATTTCAAAAGTCATTAACTTTGACAGAATTTATATTTTGTCTCAAAGATCTAAACAAAAAAAATTTATGATATAAAAATTCCATTATCTTTTAAAAGCATCAAGGTCATGAAACACAAAGAATGCGAAACTATCAGACTGGAGATGAAGAAGGGATGACAGCTAAATGCAATATGAGATCCGTATAGGATCCTGGACCGGGAAAAAAAAAAAGAATTTAGTGGGTAAGTGGGAAAACTAAAACTCTAGAGAAGGCTTGTAGATGTGCGTGTGTGTGTTTTAAAGATTTTACTTCTAGGTAATCTCTACACCCAACGTGGGGCTTGAACCTACAACCCTGAGATCAAGAGTTGCATGCTCTACTGACTGAGCCAGCCAGGCACCCCAAGGCTTGTAGCTGTTTTAATAGTACCATATTAACTAATGTTAACTTCCTGGTTCTGATCTCCTGATCGTTATTAGATAGATGTTAACATTAGGGAAACTGAGTAAAGGATGGGCAGAAGAACTGACCATACTATTTTCTGGGAGTCCAGAATTTTCTAGGAATCTAAAATTTTTTCAAAATAAAAAGCGTAGAAACCTGTCATACGTTTTGGTTCGTAGAAACCTGTCATACGTTTTGGTTCACATAAGAACACAAACAAGTAAACAAACAAAAACTCAGCATAATTGATAATGTTCAAATTGACAAGGTATAGAGGGGTTTATTCCTTAGAAGAATCAGAAATCTTTACTACCTGTGTAAGGATGTTTTGTAGTTCTAAAACCAGTGGCCATATTGCTCGGAGCAATAATTATGCAGTATTATAATGCCATGTATGTTTTAAAAATGCAATTAAGGAAAAAATGATCTAAATGTGTACCACTTAGTAATCTGTCATATTAATGACCATGCCCTTATAATCTTTTATTTTCAAATGTGTAGCCTGCTTATTTTTTGAAATTCTCCAAAACACAATTTTGACATAAAAAGTAGTATTTTCTAAAATTTGATAAGTCATCTAAACTGAAATCCAAATACATATCCTAATCTGATATTAAAATAAGTAGATTATTTGATTTCCTTTACCTGAAACTGTGTGATCCTTCGAGTCTCTTGTTATTTTTATCCTTGCATGAGGAAAGATGTAGTGCATAGTCTTCCCGTTCATCTGTATAATCTAAGATATACATATGATAAGGTGAACAATCAATGTTTAAAGGCACTTAAAATGCAATATACAGATTTAGATTTGTTTCAAGTGTGTTGATTCAATCAATAAAAAAATATTACCAGATTCTCAAATGATCACAATTCAAGCATCTTACACTATACAGTATTATTAGTTTCTGAGTTGATTGTGATCTTTATTTTTATAACCAATCATTCTTGCAAACTGATTTTCTGTGTTTGGGAAATTGATAGGCACACTTAACAGGTACTAGAGGATGTCTGTTCCTATAGTAGTACATCAATGACAGTGGTAGACAACGTATGTGAAAACGAGTGAGTCTCTGATTTTGTTCTGGGCAGCCTAGAAATGGAAAGGTATTTTTAATTTTTAGCAATTAAGTGGTGCTGGCGGAGAAAAGGCAGAAAAAAAAATCCTCCTACTATACATCTTTATCACTCTAATAGGACTGCTTTACATTTGTGTTGCTTTGATTTTATTGTAGAGTTGTGCTTTTGCTATGCATACCTACTAGAAGTGCCAATGCACACTGGATGCTGAGGCTAGTTCTACACAAATAAAGCTTTTGCTCATTGTAATTCTTTCTGAGGCCTTCCTTTTATTCGAAGCTGTGTTACTGATGGAGTTATTCCTCATTTACTGTTGACATTCCTTTGGGTAGAAACATCAACGCTGAAAGCTACTGTGGCTAGCCTGTGATCCCAATTCTCATTTTTGAGATTTGAATATGAGAATACTAGAGATTGCATTAACGCTGTTTTCCCCTGGCAAAATGAGACTTCTGAAACAAATTAGTGAATGCAAACTTATGTTTTATATTTTATGGTACTTTGCTTTTAAATGAGATTTGTGAAACAATACGAGATAAAAATAGTGAAATATCTAGTCATATCTATATTGAGGATTTTATTAGTATGAAATGTTCTATCACCTTAGAAAAATTTGACTAAAATTACAAACAAAATAAAGTTTAGTAAAGAGACATGCAATATTACCTATTTCAGAATATGTTTAAGAAGTCCGTAAGAGAATTAAACCAAAATATTAAATAGAAGTTAGAACCCAAGAGATGTTGATTTGTGATTCCTTGAATACTCGTGTGGTTTTAATGTGTAAATCCACCGTAAGACTGTTGAAATTCTACATATTAAAAGTAAAATATGTATTGAAAAACACAAGCTTAAATTATAGCCTGTCGCTTTTCTCCTCTTCAGGAAAGAATAAGCTTAATCAGGTTTCTGATGAACAGAAAACACTCCCCAAACAGCAGAATCCTGTTGAGTCCAGGGATATTATCTGAACTCTTCAAAGTAGAACTGTTGTTTGCAAGATTACAAATAAATTATGGGCAGTATAATCGGTTCGTCTAGATAATTTGTGCCACTATAACTTCGTAAGCCACCGAACCTTATTTATTTATATTCATGGCAAGAAGAGTGTATACATTTTCCCTTGATTCTCCGTCTTATTTTCTCTGTGTCGGTATCTGTCTACCTCTGCCTGCTTTCTTCTTCCCTCTCAGTTTCTCTCCTCTGCCTTTCTTACTTTCCCTCCCTTCATCTTTTCTCCTTCTATTTCCCTTCTTCCACTTTTATTCCTCCCTCCCCAATCTGCATTTAATGATCTTACTTTTTTTTTTACTGAAAATTAAACCATGTTCATTGAAAATACAACAACTATTAGATATAACTGAATTTTGCTTTGGTACTGTAGATAACTAATTCAAATTGGCATGATTTCATTTTAAGTATCTTTAATTTCATGTTCTATTTGATCACAATCTTAAAAAGTCACTTTTTTCCACTTGGTCAACAATAAAGTAAGAAAATGCATTTTCATTATGCTATTCTTTCCAATTCTCTAGACTAGGGAGAAGGCGATGTAAACTCAAGTGCATTTGTTGCACAGTCTAGGAGAGCTGTAAGATTTTCCAAACTTTTCAGCAGAGTTTTATCAGCTAGCCATTATCACCTTCTAATTTGTACCTCTGATGATGCTAGTAGAAGGGATGTTAGCATCTTCATTTCCATAAAATGTTGCTTTCAGAAAACCTCATAGCACCTCCTGTAATTTCAGAGACTGTCTATAGCTAGCATCACGAACTCACAAAATCAAAAACATGAAACTGCCATAATTATGATCAAAGTGACCAAAAGTCTGTAGAAAGCAGTGGTATCTGTCTTCCATGTATGAACTAGTTGGATCTTAGCTTTTTTCTAAGCCTTGCAGGTCAATGTTCAGAGTTCTCCAGCAGATGGAGTTTCAGGGTCAGTGTTGCTTCTGCCAAATAAGAGTAGGAATGAGGGCAGGACTGATGTCAAGTAGTGCCCACACTTTTTCCCGACTGTGTGTCTCTGGTAATACTGTCTTTTGGTGATTCTGCACTGAAAGGGCTATCAACTTTATGCCTCCCAGCAAAAGGATTCTTCTCTACCTACAGATATTTTCATGAATAATTGAGCCTTCATACTTATGAAATAATAACACTTGTGTTAACATACTGTTTATTCATAGGGACATTCATCTTTTTCCCTCTCCTAAACACCATGCATGCTAGATACAGGGGAGAGAGTGTCCTTCCCAAGTACTGTGCTAGGCCCTTATAGGACTGCGGTGGATGCAGCAGGGAGCCCCTGCTCTCTAGGAGCTCATAGCCTGTGACATAATGCATCCAATACTATTGGAGCACAAAGGAAGGACACTTGCCCTGATGTGTGGGGAGGCGGTGGTGGTAGTGTGAGAGAAGGCTTCTTATAAGATGGGGCACATACACGGAGACCTACGTAATGAGTAGAGGAGCCAAGATGAGAGGAGGGCTGTTCAGGGAAAGGGAACAGGATATCCAAAGGCCCAGAATATAGAGGAAGAATGGCTCTCTCAGAGGAGCTTAATGTACCTCAATAATGCAGTTGCATGAAGACTGCAGAAGACATGGGCGTAAGGGCAGAACGTGGAGGCATTTGATACTAATCAAGAAGTGTTGACCTTTAAAATTACCCTGTGAGGGCTATTAGCCCTATTTATAGATGAAGTGAATAAAGCAAATCCATATTTCTTTCCTTTCAAATATATATATATATATATGATGCATATATTCAAATAATAAGATGATCTTGAGTCTAATAAAAATTCAGAAAAAATTTTCTGTTTCTCATGTATTTTTATATGTTTTTAAAGCAGATAAGTTCATGTTTGTATTAATCAATTTGGTTTTATTACTTTTGCCTGCAGGGCATTTTATGAGTATAAATTCTTGTTATGTTTAAGTTTCCAAATAAAAGCATCTGGGTTTATTAGTACCAAGAGCTCAATATTACCTTTTTATGATTAGAGATCAAACAAGTGAATAAAATAAGAGCACCATTTTGCTATTCTCTCTAGACCAAAACACAATTATGATGAGTTAATGACAAAAACAGTACTTTAAGATAAATATTAATGCAAAAAAATACCATGATTTTTTAGCTTTAGGTAAATGTAATCAAAACATATGTCACCTTCTATATAGCTTGTTTAGAAAAAACTATAAAGAACAACAAAGAAATTATTGTCACAAAAGTTAGCATATTTGTTACTTTTTTGAAGGAGGTTGAGGATTACCATCTGGAAGGGGCACATAGGGGTGTCTGGGGCAAGCATATTCCCTTTCTTGGTCTGTGTGTTGGTTATATTATTGTTCACTTTATACGTAGTTTATAATTCTGCCTGTTTGCAGTTTTGGTAACTGCATGTGTAGTTTTTGGTCTGTATGTTAGATATAAAAATAAAAAAATGTAAAAAACTAAATGGAAAAAATAACTTTTAATAAGAAATTACACATTATTTTATTACATTTACCTATAAATAATTCTAACAAGGATCCTTACATTTTCTACTTTATAAAAAATAGCAGGAAATTCATGAAATGATTCTTAAATATATTCTGCTTAATTTTGGCCATTATATTGGTCTGTATTTTGTTTAAAGAAGATGTATTATATCCTCAGTGGATTAAAACCATAAATCTGCAGATGTTAGTAACAGAAAATTAAAATCAAAAAGTGCCATTAAGGTTAATAATGTTTCATCTACATACAAAAGAATTCCAGAAAATATTTTTTGAGGTGGACACAGATTATGTTAAAATGTTTCCTTCAAGAATACTGGCTGAATAAATTAGTTAGACAAGACTATTCTAAATATTTGTGGAAATAGTAATGTCAGAAAATAATTGGGAGTTATTTTCTAGCTCTCCAGTTTATATATTTTATCTTACTAAGATTTCTTTAAAGGATTTGTGCTTTCATTGACTAAATGTAGGTTTGTGGGAAATAATAAACTTCAAAGAAACAAAGGAGACAGGTAAGATATAAAAAGTAAGTCAATATAGAGAGATTTTTACAGTAAAATATATTCAAGGAAGCTATTTTCAGCTGACAGATTTATTATTTTAGTAATTATAGATAAAAAGAGGTAAATTTACATTTTATAAACATGTTCAGAATGATTTTATTATTTTCCTTGCTCATTAGGCTGATCTAATTGATGAGATTGAACTACAGCTATAAATATGATTTTAATAACAAGGTAATCTGTCTAATTCAATTGTCTCATACACTGAAATGAAGTACAAAGAAATGGAAGTATATGGACATGTATATAGAGGTAAACACAGCCCTAAACCAACACTTTTTCAAAAAAATATTTAATTATTTATTTTCATCATAAGTGTATTCCTTAATCTCCATCACCTATTTGACCCATCCCCCCCACATGTTTACCAGAGGGAAGATGGGTGGGGGATAGGAATAACTATAATCTTATTAAAGATATCAAAAACTAAAAATATTTATAATATATAGAAAATAATTCCAAGATTTCTAGAAAATATGATAGCATATATGAAACCAATACAGAACAAAATTTTGAGATAAATTCTTTTTTTTTTAAAGATTTATTTATTTGAGAGAGAGTGAGAGAGAGAGAGAGAGAAAGAGACAGAGCAGGGAGAAGGGCAGAGGGAGAGGGAGAATCCTGAAGCAGACTCCTCACTGAACATGGAGTCTGATGCGGGGCTCCAGGCCAGGACCCTGAGATCATGACCTGCGCCAAAATCAAGAGTTGGCCCCCAGATGTTCCTGAGATAAAGAAATTCTATTTAACAGCTAGAAATTTGTTCATGAAAATTTAAACTGCTTTGGAAGAAATCAAATTTGAGTATAGATACTATCTTTTCAATGGTACTTATATGTGTGATGAAAGTCGTCTCTTTTACAATTTAACGTGACAAACACTGAAGTAAATTACAGTAAGCTCATATGGTTTACCTTTGTTGTTCAAAATTGAGTTGTCTTCTATATCAGAGAATCACTAATCAGACAGGATTATTTAGGAATTAATGTGTATGAAATAACTCTCTCTATGGGTATTTTAATGATTATGGGTACATAGCCTGCAAATATCTGATCTCTTAAGGCAACTGATTTAGGCCACTGGGCTTACCAGAGGAATCTCTCTCAATTTGTCCAACTGTTGATCTCCTATGTGTCTTTCAAAATTCACTCAAACGTCACCTCATTTGTTCTAAAGTGAAGATGACCATGAATTTTAGTATCATATTTATCTAACTGTGAAATTTATCTCTAAGTTTTAGTTTCATTTATAAATAGATATTAATTGGGGCACCTGGGGGGCTCAGGTCGTGATCTCAGGGTTGTGAGACTGAGCCCTGCACGAGGCTCCGTGATCAGCTGGGAGTCTGCTTGAGGTTCTCTCTCTCCCTCTCCCTCTGCCCCTCCTCCACCACTGCCACCTCCCCTGCTCACACATGCACGCGCGCCTTCTCTCTAAAATAAATAAATCTTTAAAGAACATAAAATGAATAGATATTAATAGTATCTAGTTTGAGTTTTTCTGATGATAAAATCCAAAGATAAATATAAAACAAACATGTCCATATAATAGACTCTAAGATGTAAGTTCCCCTCTTTCCCAAAGTGAAGCGTTTGTTCCCTGTCCCCAGCTCACTTGGTTTGGTCACCCCCTTATTTGCTATTTCTTAACACCTGAACACACTGTTACTGGAAAGCACTGAAATTACCCATCTCTATTTCACCCAATATTCTGTAAGGCCTTTAGGAGCTATATGTATTGTCCTTGCATAGCAGTGTTGGGTATGTTGTACAAATTTAACTATCTTTTGGAAGAATGAATCACTTAAATTGCCCAGTAGAAGCACTACAGCTATGCTGCAATGTTGACAGCCAGGGATGATTAGGTAAGTTATTCAGTACTTTAATTTACTGAAAAAAAAATTTTTTATGAACTTGATTGACAAAAGTCCCATGCATTTTAGGATAACTGAGACCATTCTAGGATGACCGACTATTTGATTGACTGATTGATGGATTGGCTGATTTTTTTGTGGTGGGGGGGGATAAATCTAAAAGAGATTTCTCAATATAGCACTTACTTGCTCTTGATGTTGACTAACTGGTCTAGAGTGGACCAATCTTTCTGGTAGTTTGCGATCCAGACCATGTCCATTTTCCAAACGAGACTCCCTGGGTTTGTCAAACCAATCTGTTTCTTCACGACGCAGATGATAGGCTTTGGAGACCAAGGAAATATCAAACATTGCAACCACAACTAATACAGATCATAGAGGACAGCAGATGTTCTGAAATACCAACATGCTCCAGGCTTGTTAACCATTCATGCATTTCAAATACAACTCCTAAGAGGATGAGAAAATCATTTCCAATACTATGATAAAAATTTTGTACCATGGAATAACTTAAAAAAAATAATGCACACACTTGTTCAACCTCTCAGAGCAAAATAAAACAAAATTAAATTTTAAATGAGAAGAAATTTAGATAGTGACTGAATAAATGAACGAGTGAATATTCCTCAGAAGTCATTCTATTCAACCTCAACCCTTTAGTTCCTACCTCCTCATCTCTTCCCACTACCTACCACCCACCACTAACATCTAAGAAAAATGTCTTCCTTCACTACAGAAGATTCTGTCACTTTCCCACTATCATATCAATCACTAACATGTGGCTGCTGGCTTTGAACATCAAGTGAGTATTTTTGAAAACAAGACATTTCTATGACATTCAATAAATAAGTGAAAACATTTATTTCTAAGAGGATCCCAGGTATTATTGCAAGGAACATGTGTGCCATACTCACCTAGTAGCCTACTATTAAAGTATATTTAGAATATTTTATTAAAAATTAAACAATTATTTTCCATGTGGCCATGGATTTAGGAATAAGATTGAAGAGTTCACTGACTGCTTTTTATACTTACAATGTGACAAAACTTGACATCTTAGAATACTTTTTTGAAAATGTAACCATATTTAAGTACATAATTATTTTAAATTATTCATCCCATTCAGTTCTTAGTACTTCCAAGGCTTTTTTTTTAAAGCTATTAATTCGTGACCAAAAAAATCCCATTTTACCTAATATATAGAATTTGACTTCATATAAAGTTTTATTCTTTGCAAAAGGATCCCTAATTTGTAAAAAGGATCTCTGGAAATACACTGTTGCTTTCCTTTCTCTTTTTTTTTTTTTTAAAGATTTTATTTATTTATTTGAGAGAGAGAGAGAGAGAGAAACAGCATGAGAGGGGATAGGGTCAGAGGGAGAAGCAGGCTCCCTACTGAGCCGGGAGTCCGATGTGGGACTCGATCCCAGGACTCTGGGATCATGACCTGAGCCGAAGGCAGTCGCTTAACCGACTGAGCCACCCAGGCGCCCTACACTGTTGCTTTCTAAATGGCAGATGGAGCAGCCCTTCTCAAGTTCTCATCCTGAAAGATTTGTTGATGGTGTTATCAACTTAGGCTTTCTTGAAATTCTAGCATCTACAAAACCATACTTTTGAGTTCTTCTAACTCATCATAGGTTTCTTTTTATGCCTATATTCTTGATTATCTTTTCTTCCAAAACTTCCCAACACATTTTTTGCCAGGCAATTTCCATTACATTTTTGCTGGTAGGACTGGCAAACCCATAGCATATACACCACTACTCACCTCCATAACTCCTGTGATCTTGGTCCTGTGGTCACCTCCTCTGATTAACCACAGCATGTCCCCCAAATAAATATGATGATTGATGATGTGTCATAATTTAGTCATTCTTCAATTTGAGGAAATGCAATATTACATACCTGGTTTGTGGTTGTATGTGCGCTTATCTGATCTCTAATAGGAGCTTCTAAATTGCTTGAGGATAAGGCTCAGATCTTTTTTTTTCCTCCTCCCTCAACACTAAAAACAATGCCTTGCAAATGCCATAACATTCAATAAATGTTTGGGAGATGAATGAAACAGAAAAATTAATCATCAACTAGAGAAAGAAGTTAAATACCCTAATTATGATATACATATTAAAAAATATTAATTTGTCCCTTGAACTTCATTAATATTTATACAATCTTGACTCACAATCTCCACGATAATATATTATGGTTTTTCATAGTTTTAATTTGACACTAAAAAACTAAACTTATGAAAAAATATTTAATGTAATGAAATTTGATAAGTAAATACCAAACAAATTTATAATGTAATCACTGGTCTCTTAAAAACTTTAACTGACTATCCCCAACCATAGTAACACTATCTTATTTTACTTCTTACATATTCTTATTATTATTTCTCATGAAAAAAATAATCTATATTGATTTTAATAAATGCATATCTTGGATTATGTAGTATATGATTTCACTTAAATATATAACTTTGCTAATTGCACTTGAAACAATCCTTTAAGTCATATTTTCTTGGCTATGTCTATACAAATAAAGCAGAATCTCAACCTGATCCAAGTTCTGTCAATTTGTTTCTGATTACATACTTTGTCTACTATTTCTTACAATAACTCAATAAGTAATTAAGTTAGGATGTCTGTCATGTTTTGCATAAAAGTTTATAGATCAATCAAGTGCAACCAGAGTGAATGAATCTACTTTTAAGTTGTATTCTGTCTTCATAATTTATAGCAAATTGGACATAAATGTTAGTTATTTATAACTGCAATTATCTGATCTGCCATGGTAGATCTGTACTTTAAAAATTGAATTTTATAAAATTTTCCAAATTAACTTAAATAATTGCCTGGAGATTAACATCTCCTTGTTTTAAACTGATGATATTTTCTTGAAAGCTTGTATGTAAAATAAAAGTATGCTATTTTCGGGTGAAGCATTATTCAAAGTTATAGGAATAGTTCAGTTCTATTCAGTGTCAAAAATTGGTTGAAAATTTTTTTAAAAGAGACTATACTGATTTTTTTTTTTTTTTGGCTTGGAGTATACTTTGAGAGAATGTTTTCAACAAAATATTTGTGTTTGTAGAAATAAATATAACATGTTTTTAGCTTAGTTTTCCTCCAAATCTGCTCCAAAAAAGGGCTTCCTGCTCTGTAGTTAACCAACCATGCATGCATATCAAATTGTGGACTTCAAGATGATGGCCATAAATACTAAGCAATGTAAATTATGCTTATCTAGACTTTACCTCAAGTGAGCTATTTCAAAATTAACTAAAGTCATATAGAACACATATGAAAAATATTCTAAGAATCTACAAATTAGAGTTTAATTGAATTCAAAGAAAGCACACAACAATTTGAAGGCTGTTAAATTTGTTTTTGTCTACCCAATACTAAATAGCCTGTTGGAATGTTACACTTCTCAGAGTGATCTTTGTATCACTGAATTACAGATATGGCATATATTTGGTAAAAATTTATTTAAAAAACTCTTTGTATTTCATGAGTTCACAAATGAGTTATGTAATTAGGAAAAATATTTTCTACTTTTTCCCTTAATAACCCAAGGAATCCCAAGATTTCAAAAAAAAAGTAGGCCATTGCTTTACCAGAAGAAAAGTAGTATGTTCAGGTGATTTAAAAGCAAAAAAAAAAAAAAAAAAAAAAAAAAAAAAAAAGTAACATTTTAAAACTATAACTTTAAAAGATAATCACTACAATTCACACACATAATATTACATATATAATTCAATTTGTTATAGTTGTCCTTTGTCTAATTCTGTATCTGTATGTTCTTTATGACTAAGTTTCTTATCTGGTTAATTTTTAAATATGTTTTAGTTTAACTGTGTAATTTCAACTAAATTTCACTTTATTTCTTTGGTATAATCTTTATACGTTTCATAATTTTGTATGTTGCATGATGTGTCATCATCTACTTTATGAAAACAATGTTTTTCATGCAGTCCTTAATGATTAGAAGTATACATCTTCCAAACATATCAATGAGAAATAAAACATTTGGTTATTTTTATATGGTTGTATGTAAATAAATACCACATTTTGGAATATCTAGAAAAATCTAAATGTCTGACACCATGTTGACAAAACATCCATGATGAATAAATGAATTTGTCAAATTCTCTCAAATATATGCTCCATGTGCACACACAGCCTTAGGCTATACAACAAACCTGTTGAAGTTTTTGTTTTATCTTGTTATTTTACCAATGTGATTATTGAAGAGTCTTTTTATTCCTCTGCAGCAATTGTTTTATATGTATAAAATGTGTGTAAAATGTGGATTGTGAAAAAAGAAAAAAACTGTTTCCACATAATATCCTAACTCTTGTTTAACTAGAGAGATACAAACAATTGACTAAATAAAAAAATATACAAATGAAGTGCTTTATTAATTGAATAATTATCAATAAAAATGGTCAATCCAATAGCCTGTAGAGAAGAAAATAAATCAGAAAGGAACAAGTCTGTTGGGATTTCACTAAGAAAAGGAATCTGTCCACTTTCAGATCCAGTGACTTATCTTAATCCTATTCAAATCTAGATTTGAACTTCTAAAATTGTATTAGTGTCTATATATAGAAGTAGAAAATTCTTTTCATAAACACTTATTTTCCTGTGACTCCTCAGGGAAAATGTCAGATTTAAAAGGGCTGTTGTTCATGTTAGTTTAGTGCTCTGTAGTCTTCAAAGGCATGAAGTAATAATATTTGTATTCAATGAGAAATATTTTATTTCCAGGACTCAAACCGCACCTACATTCAAATGTAAACCATAGAGGGAGGGGAAAAAAGAGGACCAAAAGTCATGAGTGCTTCTGGCATGGAAAGGACTCTATATAACCTTTTACCTCTCCTCCCTTGCCTTCACAATTATATTTAGAGTAGATAATTTTCTAAAATCCTATCATTCTATAAGATTCAACAACAACAACAACAAAATTATCATAAGCCAGTTTTTAATTAAGGTATATACTTGCCTTAAATCATTTATTCAAAGAAAAACTAACAAAACAATTTAGGATAAAAAAATGGGATGATGCAAAAAGCAAAGCCAAGGGAAAGCCTGTATGGGTACACCAACCAGGAGGGCTCAGCTTGTTAAACTCACAAAAGTAGTGAGCAAATTTTTGATTCTAAATCTAAAGAATGTTTCCTGTGTACTGACACGATTATTTGTTGTCAGTATCATATTCAGTGCTAACCTTTCTAGTATGTAATGCAAAATGCACAAACTTTTCAATTATGGTATTCATAGTGAGAGAAATAAAAATATTAATCCTTTATTTAAGGAGAATTATAAAATTCTACATTACACTAATATCAGGGATTTAGCCAAAGATTCTCAAAAATAGAACATTCTCTGAATTAATGAACAATGATATCACAAAAATAACATAAATAATTTTCTATTACAAAGTCTAGCAGAATAGTACTTAATGGCTCTAAATATTAATAATTTCACAAACTGAAAGAAACTGACCAATATATTTAGAAATGCATTTTTAAAAGATAAAAGAAACATACAATGACAAACTTTCCAACTATGGATTTAAAGGATGACCATATTTTATTGACACAATTACTTGATAATGGTTTTAGAAAAGTGGACACCAAACAAATCAAGCAAGCAATCAAGAAACAACAATAAAAGAATAAACTAAAGAGAAATAAAGAAAAGCATGCTAGGAAATCTATACACAAGATCAAATTTCCATTTACAAGAAATAAAATTGAAGTAAACATGCAAAAGACGCACTAAGAAAAGTAGAATACATCCTTGGAGAAGGAAAATTAAACATGCAGAAAAACAAGAATTTGAGTTTTGAGAGTAACAAGGTAGTGTGAGGCCCAATTTACCTTCACTGTCTGACATGGCATGTTGAAAGTCATCCATGATGAATGCTATGTCACGGTCATAGCCTCGAGTTCGTGATTCTTCTCTCATGTGTTGCTGAACTTCAGGCAATGAGTGACTTGATCCAAACTGATCCCTGGTGTCTGCAGATATTGGTGGAAGGGGTCCAGCTGCAGCCCTGGCCATTCCCATTGGCTGGCCAACGGGACTGAGTGGACTTTCTTCTTCAGAATTTTGGGCCACAATTGGTATTCTTCCTCTACTCTGGCTAATTGGTAAGCTGGTCGGCTTAGTTCTGCCAGAAGGTGATGCATGACTAAAGGAAACATCTAGAGCTTCAGCCTCTTGAGCTTTCAGTCTTAGGGAAGAGCTGGAAGAATCTCTTTTAATTGATAAGTCAAGGCCATAGACAGAAGAAGGTCTGGAAGAAGGTCTGGACCTGCTGCCACTACTGTATGGCTTATCTGCTTCATCCTGCAAAGCCGACCTTAGGGTATTTCCTAATGTGCCCAGCCCTGTGCTAAGAGATGACCCCATAAATTTCTGTTGGTCTGTAATATTTTTTCTGAGGCCAAAAGTGATGTCATCTTGAAGAAGCCTTGCTCTGGAGGAAATGCCACCAAGAGATGAAGTGCTAGAAGTCATATAGCTTGAATAATCAGGTTCGAGATCTCTACTTTCTTGAATGGGTGAAAATTTTGACATTTTAGGATCAATTAGTGACTTCTTATGTTTTGATTGCTTTTGATAAAGTATGGCTGCTGGTAGTTGTTTTGCTGCTTGTTTTTCAAGTGTGAGTCTACTAATGCTGTACTTTTCTGATTTGGGAAAATGTCTATAGCCCACATCAGCATGGTAATAATGGGAAAGACCAGCAAGGTGATCTAAGCTCTCTGCCCCTCTACGGAATTCTTGTTTAATCTGATGTTTCAGAAGCTTTAACTCGTAGGGATCTTCCATGGGATCTTCCTCTGCTTTCACATAACTATGCAATCGGGAGGAAGTCTGTAAAGGTGCTAGGAAATCCGTCACTTCTTGAGACCTACGTGTTTCAGTGGATCGAAGGAGACGATCTGTTTTTGACAGATCCTTTTCATGAAGGCTAAATGCAGTGCTTAGTGCTGCTGTTCCTTTGGTAATCTCTCCAATGTCATCAATTAGGACATAATTTCGTGGAGTATGATGGTCAATATCCGCATAGAAAGAATCTGCAGATATGCTTGATATTGGACTGCTTGCCATGCTACTTCTTTCCTCCAATCCTATTCTCAAGTCTAAGCTATTGTACTTACTCCCAAGATGAGAAACAGCATATGTATTATCAGTAGAAACAGGTGCTATCATCAGGGGTTGGTTGCGAATCACCTCATAGTTTGAAGTTATCTTGGGCTCCAAATATAATGTAGTTTGCCGTGGCTTTTGTTGGATCACCATCATCTGTGATGGTAACTGGTAAGAAGGTTGTGGGGTTGGTGTAGGTTGAGCTTGAGGTGTGAAGGACATTGTTGCAACAGCCTGAAATGTTGGTTGAGTCTGATAAGGTGAAACTTGCTGATGGTACAAAGTCTGTTGCTGAAAATGGGACTGTTGGGTGTATGGGGTAGGTGCTTGGGTAGGAAGAGCTGGGGAAGAATACTGGTATTGTGTATAAGGACTTGTAGGAGGAACTAGTTGAGATTCTGTTTGGGTTTGCGGTGGTATAAACTGGCTGAATTCAGTTTGGGGAGCAGTTCTTGGTCGCTCTATGCCATGCTGACTTTCTATTCGGGTTGGTCGGGTGCTGCTCACTTCACTGTCAGACATGTAATCCCGATCCTCAGCTACTCCCTGGAGGTAGGCTCGCTCTCTCTTTTCTCTCTCCTTTAATAATGCCTCCTTCCTCCTGTTAATTCCCATTTCCAGGTACCGTAACTTGGCATCAATCTCCTTTTCTTCCTCATCAAGTTCTGCTTGTTTCTTTCTCAGCTTTGCAGATTCCCTCTCTACAAGATCAAGCTCTCTGTCTATATCCTGGAGAATCTTGGCTCGTGCCATTGTGTTGGTTCTGCAGATCCTCCTCCTGGAAACTGTGCCCACTGTGCTGTATGTTGACTGAGTGCCTGTGGAGGTCTCCTCAGGGGGTGGGTTAGGCAGAGTTCTCTTAACTTTTTTCTGGGTGCCAGAGGGTGTCATGGTTTGAGAACCTTTTGTCTATAATACACAAAAAATAAAACTTTATTAAGAAGGGAAAAAAGATTTAAAAACTTTATCACTTACATTTTAAATAAAAATGATTTCATGTATGTTTTAGCCATGACAACATAATAAAACAAAACTTGTATATATTATTTCAAGTATTATCACAAATACAATTAACTGAAACATAAATTTTCCTTTCTTGGCAAGTTGGTTATTTATTATTACAACTTCTGTAACATTAGAAGTGAATTTGGAAATCAAGCACAGAACTCATTACTACATGGGCTTATATTTTAGACTCTTAAGAGAATTCTAGAAACCCATTTTTCATCCTGTGTAGTACACATAAAACTATTTGCTAAATGTATTCCCAGAGTATGTGTGTTAGATGTCTAAAATTTAAGTTATATTTCTGAAGATGCACATTTACCATTGTTAATTTCAATTGTTTGCTTCTATCTTCTCATTCCCACTTCTTCCCCCACCCCCACCCCCACCCAAGAGTGGCTGTCATTCCTATTCCAATCATGAAATATTCTGAAAGAAAAACTTTAAATCTCTAGTCTTTTTTCCCCCCCAAAAAAGAGTAATCTAATTTTCTATTTAATATTTCATTATTTTCATGACCATTGGGTCTTATGTTTTCTTTTAATTTTATTATTCTTTAGTAATTTTAGTTGTTCTTAATGTTTTAGCAACTTATACATGAAGCAGAGGGAACTGACTGCAATAAAAACCCACTGAATTTTTTTTTTAATCGTTTAAGTTATATCATTGATGAAATGTCACATATGTTAGGTTTCATTTGGTTTGTCATAAACTCACTGATCTTGAGAATCATACAATTTTAGAATATCAAAACATGTCAGATTATTTTCAATAAACTGATGTAAACAGACAGGATTTCCTAACACAAGACAGAGACCTAGACAAAATGCCAAGATGGAGGAATTCATCCCAAAAGAAAGAACAAGAAAAGGGTCATGGTCAGGGATCTAACTGAAAGAGACACAAGTAAACTGCCTGATCTAGAATTTAAAACAACAGTCATAAAGATACTAGCTGGACTTGAGAAAAGCATAGAAGATACCAGGGAGTCCCTTACCAAAGAGACAAAAGACCTAAAAAATAATCAGACCAAAGTAGAAAATGCAATAGCTGAGATTCAAAACAGACTGGATGTAATGATCACAAGGATGGAAGAAGCAGAGGAATGAGTAAGTGATATAAAAGCTAAAGTTATGAGAAACAATGAAGCTGAAAAGAAGAGGGAAAGAAAAATATTAGATCATGTATATAGACTTAGGGAATTCAGTAACTCCTTAAAGCATACTAACATTCATTATTGTAGGAGTCCCAGAAGAAGAGAGGGAAAAGGGGACAGAAGGTTATTTGAGAAAATTGCAGCTGAAAACTTCCCTAATCTGGGAAAGGAAACAGACATCCAAATCCGGAAGGCACAGAGAATTCCCATTAAAATTTTAAAAAGCAGGCCAACACCAAGACATATAGTAGTTAAATGTGCAAAATACAGCGATAAAGAAAAAATCCTAAAAGCGGCAATAGACAGTTTCCCAGCTGAACAAAAACTAAAGGAGTTTGTGACCACTAAACCTGCCCTGCCAGAAATTTTTTTTTTTTTTTTAAAGATTTTATTTATTTGAGAGAGAGAATGAGACAGAGAGAGCATGAGAGGGTCAGAGGGAGAAGCAGACTCCCTGCCGAGCAGGGAGCCCGATGCGGGACTCGATCCCGGGACTCCAGGATCATGACCTGAGCCGAAGGCAGTCGCTTAACCAACTGAGCCACCCAGGCGCCCCGCCCTGACAGAAATATTAAAGGAAACATCTCTCTGAGTGGGAAGGAAACACTAAGTGACAAAGACTAGAAAGGAACAGAGAAAATCTCCAGAATAAATGAAAAACAATAAGATGGCACTAAATTCATATCTATGAATAATTACTCTGAATGTAAATGGACTAAATGTTCCAATCAAAAGACACAGGGTGTCAGAATGGATAAAAAAACAAGACCCATCTATACGCTGCCTACAAGAGACTCATTTTTGTCCTAAAGATACCTGTAGATTGAAAGTGAGAGGATGGAGAACAATTTAGCATACTAATGGATGTCAAAAGAAAGCCAGAGTAATAATACTTATCTCAGACAAACTAGATTTTAAACTAAAGACTGTAGGGGCACCGGGTGGCTCAGTCACTTAAGCATCTGACTCTTGGTTTTGGCTCTCAGGGTTGTGGGATCCAGCCCCACACTGGGCTCTGCACTCTGCATGGAGTCTGCTTGTCCCTCTCCGTCCCCCTCTCAAATAAATAAATAAAATCTTTAAAAAATATATAAAATAATAAAGACTGTAACAAGAGATGAAGAAGGACACTATATTAGAACAAAGGAGTCTATCCAACAAGAAGATCTAACAATTGTAAATATTTATGCCCCCAACTTGGGAGCACTCAAGTGCATAAAACAATTAATAACAAACATAAAGGAACTAATTTATAATAATACAATAATAGTAGGAGATTTTAACACCCCACTTACACCAATGGATAGATCATCTAAGCAGAAAATCAACAAGGAAACAATGGATTTGAATGACACACTGAACCAGATGGACTTAACAGATATATTCAGGACATTTCATCCTATAGCAGAATATATATTCTTTTTGAGTGCACATAGAACATTCTCCAGAATAGATCATAATAGAGTCACAAATCAGGCCTCAACAAGTACAAAAAGAATGAGATCATACCATGCATATTTTCCAACCACAATGTTATGAAACTTGAAGTCAAGCACAAGAAAATATTTGGAAAGACTACAAATACATAGAAGTTAAAAAACATCCTACTAAAGAATGAATGGGCCAACCAGGAAATTAAAAAGAAATTTAAAAATACATGGAAATAATAATAATGAAAACATGACAGTCCAAAACCTTTGGGATGCAGTAAAAGCAGTCCTAAGAGGGAAATATATAAGAATACAAACCTACTTCAAGAAGCAAGAAAAATCTCAAATACACAACCTAACCTTACACCTAAAAGAGCTAGAAGAGGAACAACAAATGAAGCCTAAAGCTATCATAAGGAGGGAAATAATAAAGATTAGGGCAGAAATAAATGATACACAAACAAAAAAACCCAGTAGAACAGGTCAATGAAGCCAGGAGCTGGTTCTTTGAAAGAATTAATAAAATTGACAAACCTCTAGCCAGTCTTGGCAAAAAGAAAAGGAAAAGGACCCAAATAAATAGAATCACAAAGGAGAGAGGAGAGATTACAACCAACAACAGAGAAATACAAACAAATATGAGATTATTATGAGCAATTATATGCTGACAAATTAGGCAAGCTGGAAGATATGGATAAATTCCTAGAAACATATAAACTGGAAAAACTGAAACAGGAATAGAAAATTTGAACAGACCCACAACCAGTGAAGAAATTGATTCAATAATCAAAAATCTCCTGACAAACCAAAGTTCAGGGACAGATGGCTTCCCAGGGTAATTCTGCCAAACATTTTAAAAAGAGTTAATACCTATTCTTCTCAAACTGTTCCAAAAAATAGAAATGGAAGGAAAACTTCCAAACTCATTCTCTGAGACCAGAATTACCTTGATTCCAAAATCAGACAAAGACCCCACTAAAATGGAGAATTACAGGCTCATATCCCTGATGAACATAGATACAAAAATTCTCAACAGAATACTAGCTATATTAATCAGACAGTACATGAAAAGAATCATTCACCATGATCAAGTGGGATTTATTTCTGGGCTGCAAGGGTGGCTCAATATTCACAATTAATCGACATGACACACCATATTAATAAAAGAAAGGATAAGAACCATATGATCTTCTCAATTGATGCAGAAAAAGAGTATGACAAAGTACAGCATCCATTCTTGATAAGAACCCTCAAGAAAGTAGGGATGGAGGGAACACACCTCAACATCATAAAGGCCATATATTAAAGACTCACAGTTAATATCATCCTCAATGGGGAAAAACTGAGAGCTTTTCCTCTATGGTCAGGAACAGAACAAGGATGTCCACTCTGACCATTATTATTTAACAAAGTACTGGAAGTCCTAACCTCAGGATTAAAAGGCATCCAAATTGGTAAGGAAGAAGTCCAACTTTCACTATTTGCAGATGACATGACACTCTATGTAGAAAACCTGAAAGACTCCACCAAAAAATTGCTAGAATGGATACACAAATTCAGTAAAGCTGCAGGATAAAAATCAATGTACAGAAATCTGTTGCATTTCTATATACCAATAATGAAGCAGGAGAAAAAGAAATCAAGGAATCGATACCATTTTACAATTGCACCAAAAACTGTAAGATACCTAGGAACAAACCATGGGTTAATGGAGGGAAGTGGTGGGGGGTAGGCAAAATGGGCGATGGGTATTAAGGAAGGCACTTGTTGTGAGGAGCACTGGGTGTTATATGTAAGTGATGAATCACTAAATTCTACATCTGAAACCAATTTTACCATATATGTTAATTCACTAGAATTTAAATAAGAACATGGAAATAATAGATACCTCAGAATAAACCCAACCAAAGAGGTAAAAGGTCTGTACTCTGAAAACTATAGAACGCTTATGAAAGAAAGTTAAGAGGACACAAAGAAATAGAAAAACATTTCATGCTCATGGATTGGAAGAACAAATATTGTTAAAATGTCTACACTACCCATAGCATAGTACACATTTTATGCAATCCCTATTAAAATACCACCAGCATTTTTCACAGAGTTAGAACAAACAATCCTAAAATTTGTATGGAACCACAAAAGATCCTGAATAGCCAAAGTAATCTTGAAAAAGAAAAGCAAAGCTGCAGGCATCACAGTTCTGGACTTCAAGGTATATTACAAGGCCGTAGTGATCAAAACAGTACGGCACTGGCAAAAAAAAAAAAAAAAAAAAAAAAGACCTATAGATCAGCAGAACCGAATAGAGAACCCAGAAA